TGTCTGATTTCTGCCACCACAATAGAAAAAAGGTGAACGTAATTACATTTGTGGCACTCTCAGTATAGGAAAGTAACATTTAAACAGTTCTACAGCTACACTAGCATTACTACGAGCTAAATGTCAGCTAATGTCAGCAACATTCTCACAATGTCAAGGCTAACAGACGTTTAGAACGTAGAATGTTTACCATGTTCACCTTCTTAGCTAGGCGTGTTAGCATGATGACATTCGCTATTTAGCACTTGTCTTTGCAGGTATTTGGTCGTAAACCAAAATATTGGACAGATAAAAAAAAATGACGTGATAATTGCAGTAGAGAAAAAGTTGTTGCAACCCATTTAAGGGGGAAATCTATAATTATTTTATGGCAATCCAATCCAACCGTTGAGATATTTCAGTCTGAACCCAAGTGTCTATTGCTATCCCTAGAGCCACGCCGCTAGCATAGCTAAAAACTTTTCACAGTGTCCTTGTTACCGGATAATTGTCAACAGTTTACATAGTGACTATTCCTACAGTAGAAACCGTTCCGAAGACATGCTGCTGGTGAATATTTTAAATGTAATTTTTCAGTACTGTGAGCACCACCAATGTATTGGAGCAAATCAAAACCCAGATATAAAGCCAAACCTGCATGTTTTTTTATTTATATTTGGGTGAACTGACCCTTTAAAGCATTGTTCAAATGAAGTCATCAAAGCTTGTTTCACTGGTACACATGATTATCCTCTTATGCTAGTGACATGGTATGAATAGTGTGGTTGAATTCAGACAAACACCTCGTGCTACTGTGTGTTTTCCTGTTCTGGTTGGTTGTTAGGCTGCTGTATGTGCACTCAGCTGTCTGCTTTGGCCGTGTCTCTCTGCATTTCCCCACAGGTTATTTCTGCTGATGTTAGTGTCAGCACCGAAGCTGTTTACACAGACATTAGTGTCAATTACAGAAACACAATTATTCTCTCCAGAGCGAGTTTACTCTCACGCAGTCAGAACGGGACAGTCCCCAGGAGACATGCATTTATAACACGCAGCTCCAACTGCAAATAATACTCTCCACCCTCAAGACATCCACTTTCATCATTCCTCCATGTTTCCGTCTGTCTGACTGTCTGTAGCTCTGTTGTGTCGTTCAGCCTGCCACCCTCTGTACTCTCACACTGTTTTCAAACCACTTCTGAAATTGGATAACAACACGACAAATTATCCGACTGTAGAATACCTTGACCCCACACATTTCATTCTTTCTCACAAATCAAAGCTACAGGAATCATGTGCTGGCGGCAGTAGATGTTAAAGGCACCGGTGTTAAAGGCAACACCATTGTCATTCACAGACACACAAAGACCAATCCACACAGACGAGCAGCCGGCAGGCCTACAGGCAGACGTCTGCCTGAGGGTCTGAAACTCAGTCTGCAAACACAGCCATTGTCTGTGAAATCTGCCCTTAAGACGGCACGTATCAGTATAGGAGATTTCTTCTGGGATGTGAAGAAAGTGCTGCTTTGATAATGGCTGTTGGTCGTGGGTGGGTAGATGATTCACATGATGCTTTATGAAGGAGACTCACCCTGGATCTTTAGTTCGCTATAGACATCGTTTTGAGGCTGAAACGACAAGACAAATCTTCTTTAATCTTGCACTCAAAATATTTTTAATTCGTTGTTTTAATTTAACATTTGAAGAATTTTGGCTGATTCAATTCACGACGAAAAATGTCCAGTCACAAATATAATGGATACCTTTACATTTTGTTGTTGTGTTGGCTCTGTGCTTCAGCACATATTTGATTTAAATTGAAACAATGACTATTAGGTTTAATAGATGTCTCTCAGCTTTAGTTTGAAGTTGTTTAAATCCACATCTGATAAACACGGTTGGAATGCCCCCATTTTTATCTAATTGACCAGTTTTAGGTGACACAGTGTCATTGGACAATGTAAACTTTATCAAAGTTATCATGTTTTATATTTGGTTCGTTCGCAGCCTACAGACATTAACTACGTAGCCTCATTAATAATTTCTTTGTCAGCAAAACACATTCTCAGTTGGACTGCCGTCAGGTGTCTGACTTGGCTGAACAACAACATTCCACTTTTTGGCCATAAACCTCTTGGCTGTCTTTATACATTATTTTCCTGCTGCGTTGTCCTAGAATTAGGGGAATATAGAGAATGTTCCCAGAGTATGGAGGTAAACACCTTCAAATACAAGGCTGAAAATTACCACTTTAACCTCAAAGTGGTTGTTTCATTTTAAACCCAATGTGCTGGTGTACTTTTGCCAAAGCAACATAAAACAAGTTGTCCAAGTACTTTCTAATAATTACGGGACCACATATGTAGTTTGTCTTTTCCTAGCTAATTAAAAACAAATTTTGATGCAACTTTCATGACAGCCAACCATTTCCCGATGCATACCATACACTTTTAGACAGCCGTTGCTTTCAGTTCATTTCAGGAATGAAAATGAATTTGCAGAAACGTAAAAAGAAACGATGGGTAACAAATCACAGCAGCCATTTTGTCAAACCAAGCAAAATTTAGAATATTTACATCTGCAGCCGAACATACTCCATTACTCCAATACTCCATTGAAAACCTGGGTTTTGGCACTCAATGCTTTCAACCTTGAAATGCCTTGAATTAAATTACATACTCTCCTCTCCTCAGTGAAGTGCAGCTCTTGCTGCTGGAACAGCGAGAAGTGTGGGCTGCAGAGGAGGGCTGGCTGGTCTTTGACCTGACCGACACCAGTAACCTCTGGCTGGTCAACCCTAAGCAGAACCTCGGTCTGCACCTGGTCCTGGAGGACAGCCACGGTCAGTCAACGCCATACATTAACTCACATGGGGAACAGCAACAATTGCACAATTACAGTCTTTGTCTGGAGTGATGATTTAATGCTTTCTAATCCTGTGGGGAAAAGGCCCACCACATATTGAGTAATTGTCTGTAGGGGCTTCTTACAGGGTGCAAGTTGGTCGTTTTGTGGTCATATTAGGATGAACAAATAATTGTTTAGTAGAGACTTAGATGTGCTTTATTGTCATCTTCAGTGGTTGGTTGACTCTCTTAATAGTTTTGTTCACCCGGTCTCCCATTATAGGTCAGAGGAGGAACCCCAGACTGGCGGGGCTGGTGATGGGCAGTGGACCTCAGGACAAGCAGCCCTTCATGGTTGCCTTCTTCAAAGCCAACGAGGTGCGTTTCCGCAGCATCCGCTCCGCCCACGGCCACAAGGGGCGCCAGTCCAACCGCTCCAAACCCCAGAGGACTGTTCAAGATGCACTAAAGGCAGTGGAGGCTGCAACAGGTGCCCGAACCCTTCAAATCTCACCATCATCAACTCTAATCATGGTTTAAGTGACTCTGATAAACTGGCCGTTAATACTTTTTGTACTTTGACACTTGTGTGTACTCATACTTGCATGTTTTCCACCTCAGATAACCTTGGCATCTCCAAAGAGGGATGTAAAAAGCATGAGCTGTATGTCAGCTTCAGAGATTTGGGATGGCAGGTATAATTACAATTTTAATCTAATTTCTATATAAAATTTCACCTTATTACATGTCCAAAAGTAACAATTAACTGGCATTTACCGGTGGTTTTACTCTGAGCAGGACTGGATCATAGCACCAGAGGGCTATGCAGCGTACTACTGCGAGGGAGAATGCGCCTTCCCTCTCAACTCCTACATGAATGCCACCAATCACGCCATTGTGCAAACTCTGGTAAGTCCCAGTCAGCCCCAATGATGACAGGCACTTTCACTACAACCTCCACTTCCTGTGAGGATTAATTTATGCTTCTTCTGACCACAGGTGCACTTCATCAACCCGGACACGGTGCCCAAGCCCTGCTGTGCCCCCACGCAGCTCCATGGCATCTCAGTGCTCTACTTTGACGACAGCTCCAACGTCATTCTCAAGAAGTATCGCAACATGGTGGTCAGAGCATGTGGCTGCCACTGACCTCTCGAAACCCCCCCCCCCCCGCCGCCGCCGCCGCCGCCGCCGTGAGTTCTGCAATTTTAGAGGAGGACGCTGAAAAAGGCAAAAGTGAAGGAACCAGAGACATGATGATTGACTGGCTGGTCACCAGGGAGCTCCCGCCACAGAACGAGCTTTAAATAATCTGCCGTTCTGTTTTTTATGAGCAGCAGCTGAGCCTCCGATGCAGTTTTAACCACTACCACAAACCAAATAGAACTATTGGTAACAGAGAAAGGTTGAACAAAGGCGTTTCTTTTGCTTTCTCTCGAGTTCGACTAGAAAAAGTGCACTGGAAGGCCACCAAGCAATGTGGAGTTACTTCCGAGACTCAAAGAAAACATTCAGCGCTGGAAACATGAAATTAAAAGGTTACGATTATCCTTAATGTGCAACTCATATCACTCTGCATTTGAATTCAGGCACTGACCATAAGGTGTCAGAATATAAAATACTGCCTGGGTGGAAATGTGCATATAGTAATGGATTCCACAGCTCATACAACTTTAAATCACCATCTTCCTGTTGAATTGGAACAGCAGGGTGAACTTGTGTCTGTTGAGGAAAAAATAAAAACTTCAGCTGTTCCTGAACTGGTTGTTCAGCAGGCCACTTGGACCAGGTCAGGTGTATAACATCTGGCAGCTCGTGTGTGTGCTGCTGATGCAGAGGAGCGCAGTGAAGAACGGCAGGCGAGACCGTTCGGAACAGTGCGAGACTGGACGACCTGCCTGTTGGACCTAGTTTCCTGGTGTGCAGACAGACATCACCAGGCCTGTGACATCTGCAAGATGTCAGCCATTCATCTTCAATGGAAGGACATCAGGGTGTGCACCTTCGCCCCGACTGCAGCTGCTTTCTCATGACAAAAGGGAAGCTGTAATTGTATTCAGTCAATTTAAAGTTAATAAAAGGAAACTGTAAAACAAGAAGCAGGTGCGTGTTTTTACCTCATCTGGCCTCAATGATGTTCCCTGCAGCATCACTCAACACACCTCTGGCTTGTAAATTAACGTTTTGTAAGTGTTCATGGGTTTTTGACATTTGTGTGAAAATGATGCAGAAACTTTACATATATTTATTAAACGGTGAGAAAACTGTTTCACAAGGTACAGACACCATCTGTATGTACAGCACCCTGTCTGCCCCCTAATTGGGACATCACAGTTGAGCCCACATGGTTTGCATTTCAACTTTGCACAATTTAATCGTTTGCCAAAATAAGTGCTATATACACTCAGAAGAAAATCACATTGCAGTGCTGACATACGACATTGACACAGCTATATACTGTAACAACCAGGCAAATAAAGGCATTCACACCGACATTCACTGAGAAGCTGAGCGCTTCCAACGCAGCGTATTACAACACAGCCCACGCCGTTAAAAACAGATCATACGTATCTGTCACCTTAAATAGAAAATAGAGGTAGAAGCGTAAAATTTAATCCTAGTGATGCAATCAAAGTGGTGTTGATTGTCAATGTGAAAGCTCACTCTCAAACAGGAATTAAGGAAATGCAATAATTCGGAATGAAAACATTATTAATGATTATAAAGAAGTCTTACGTAATCTTTAGGCAGAAAAGATAAAACTTTAGACGATATGTTGAGCAGTGAAAGACCTGAGGGAGTATTCGTCTTTGATTTTCAAGGAACGTGGGCTGATTTAGTCAGAAGTGCTTGAGATGAGACGAACACTTTGAACACGCTGTAGAACCCAAACAATATTCTTTGAACCTACAAGAGCTTTTTCAAATTCACTGCCACTGAAACAGCTTCCCAAAATAAATAAATCACATAGCGTCACATGAGACGTTGCAGAAATTGTAATGTTTAACTCAACTTATATTGTCAGTGTTTGATCCCTGACTTACCCTGACAAATTTGCAAATATAGGTTTACCCTCTGGGGGAATCCTGAGAGTTTATCTTATCTTTCCTCTTTAGCTTTTACTCCTTCGGTACAATTGAAAAAACGACAGTCAAGCACAGAAATATGATTCGGGAGGTAGAAAGATAGCAAATACAGGCCGAGTATAGCGGAGCTTAAAAGAGATCGACATGCTTCGGTGTCCTTGAAGCATCAGCCCTCCTCACTACATGCAGTTAGTCCCTGGACCTCTCAACTCAGGGGCAGAATAGTGTCTCCTGCGGACCACGTCTGCCTCTGTCTTCTTCTGCCCCCCTGCTGGCAGCACTAGCCCTGGGGGGTCCCGGGGTGGTGATGCCTTTAGGGACTCACACCCTCCCTCTGACTTAATGGTTGAGGTTTTTGGCTCCAGGGTGGCTGACGGTGGAGGCTGGGAGGCTGAGACAGGGGTGAGAGCCAGGCAGATGTCTCCCACACTGAGCTGGCGGCAATGCAGGCCACAGAGACGGGCAGTCCTCTGAGGGCTGCAGGAGGACCAGCCAGCCCCTCGCACAAAGAATGGGTACTCCACATAGACGTCCACCAGCTCCTGCAGGATGTTACATACGTACAGGAAGATGAGACACAGAAATGCAGCTTACACACTTGTTCACTAGGGAGTGCTACTGTTTATTGTTTTATGTAGGCTAGTTATCTGAAGCAGTCAATGGATTCAATAGAGACCATTGATGAATGCATGTACTGTGAGTTTGGTGATAAGCTATTTTCACAGTTCACACTGATGCCCCTGAGATATAACTGAGTGGTTAATATAATTTCACCACATGCCAAACACAAAGTTAGGCCAAGGTCCTGCAGTAATGATTAAATGTTAATATCTATTTTGGTAATTATATTTAAAAACTAAAGCCAGATGAGTCCCATTTTTGTTATTATTTGTGTGATATAATAATAGAACTTGTCAAATGTTATGTCTTATGACAGAAGTTTTTGTTTGTAGAAGAAATGAAAGAATCCTTAGACTTAGAATGTCAGAAATCTACACATAGTGGGTTTGAAAGTATAAAGTTGGGCTTATTCTAGATATTTTCTTTACCGTCAGCAAAACCCTAAACTGACGTGCCAGATGTTTCTTTACACAATACTTCAGAGAAACCTCTTCCATACGCTGTGTAGGAAAGACAATTTTTCCTGAATCGTTACAGAAACAGAAGTTAGTGGTACAGTTGGGGACTATTTTTAGCTGCGTATTATTACAAATGGTGTGTGCTGGTATTTGATGCTACCAGGACAGTGTATGCTCATTGTCACTTAGTTTGGCTAATTTATGCATCTTACTATTTCTTGGACGATGGAGCTCTATGGCGCAGAGGACTGAGAGACATCAAGTTTTGGCTCAATAGACAATACTATTTTTGTTTTAAAATCTTTCCATTGTATTTACTCAGAATATTGAATATCACCAGCCTTTTCCTTTAACATGTAATAGTATGATCCGAATGCAACATTGGGTAGATTTATTAAAATAATGCATGGATAGGACCCTAGCCCTATTTTTAGGCCTCTGCTCGAAAATTGCATAGCCATACTCAAGAGAGTCCCGAGCTCTAACTACAAGGTCTATTTTAATAATTTTGATGCTAGAATACTGGTAACACTTGTGAGATGTGTTGAATTGTGTAAATATTGTGTATATGTTACTGGTTAATAACTGATACACTTATGGCACAGCCCAAATTGAAAAATTTCTAGGTTCGCCTGAAAAAAAGCACTTGTATTGAACATTTTTTTTTTTTAAATAATGCAGCTGCAAGCCTAAAACCACGCCACAGTCATAGAACAACACGTTTTACATGTCCCCACAACATATTTTACTTCGATTGAGTGAAGCAGGCCAGCATAAATGGTCATAAAAATCAAAATTTTGATTTTCGGAACCAGCTGTTGCATTGCTGTATACTAATTTGATATACTATATAACTAAATATTAACTATATATTCACTTTTCTTATCACTAAGAGTCTTCAATAATCCTAATAAATTAGTTTGACACCATTTTGAATAATGTTGAGCAGTTATGATGTGTCATATCTGTCATTCATAACAATAAATGGCTCATAATGTGTGTCTATGTGACTTTGGTAAGGCCGATTTACTCGTGTGAGACATTTTTAGATGCGGGATAGTCCAACGGGAGCCATGCCGGGGATGTTTGATCGTATCCGGGTCTGTTTACTGACTAAAAATCGCAAAATGCTGCGCGAACCCCCCTCTCTACATGGATTGCTCCACCCCACAGAATCGTCTGCCATTTTGTGATTCATTCCGCCAGCGCATTGATCTCACTCACAGACATGCAGCAGAACATGGCAGGCAGAGCTGTGCAAAAATCGGCTCGAATAAATCCGTTTTTCATCGCCAAAACCGTCAAAACGTAAGTTTTTTTTACCCGATTATTTTTCTCGTGACCTGCGGCTGATGTTGGCATGCATACCCATAACTTTTGAACGGTTTGAAAGAGAGTAATTTGGACGCCGCTGTGCGTTTCTGGGTCGAATCGTGCCCCTCATGCATGTGTTCATCCGCCATGTGCGATCCTGCTCCGTGATGAGAGAGCCATAGAGTGAGCATAGGTCATCGATTTTTGGCCAAAATTGTGGCAAATCTTCTAGATATCTTCCAGATATGATATTAGTTCATGTATAATTGTGTTTGCAGTGTTTACAATGGCTGGTATGATGATGTTGCTCGGACTTTTCCCGTTAATTTGATATTTAATATGTCTGGAGCAATAATCATATTTCTTTATGAAAAATGCTTTCTACGACACGCTGAATGCTGCACACTCTAAAACAGCCCCCCGTGGGGGGCTCTCGGGTCCTATGGGTTAAGGGCCTGTTGTGATTAGTTCATACTACAAAGGGATTTTCCTTCACCTGGGACTGCTGGTCGTGGAGCAGGATGAGGAGGCGCGAGATGGAGGAGGAGGCTGAAGGGGTGATGCTCTGCACCGTGCAGCAGCTCAGGTGCAGGTCTGGACAGGCCAACGATCCCAGCAGGAAGTCCTCCGTCTGCAGGTGCTCCACCCTCCTCAGCCGGCCGTCTCTGAGCTCGATCAGAGAGCCTGCCCCGAAGTGAGGGAGCAGCCAGGGAAAAAGGTTAGGAGAGGAAGAGGAGGAAGAAGCCTGCTCAGAAGATGGGAGAGCAGAAGACCTCAAGGCGTCCTCCTTCATGGAGGTGTATTTCTTGCTTGAGCTATCGTCAGGGGAAACTCGTATGAGGGAATGTCCAGAAGCGGGATGTTTGACAACCTTTGCTGATTTGTGCAACACATCATATTGCAGTGTGAGGTCCTCGTGTGGAGAGTGAGGTAGGCATGTGCTCAGTGACGGAGGACTTGCTTTTTCAACCCTGGGAAAATGCTCAACTTTTCTGTCTCTTCTCCTCACATATGGTCCTTTGTTCCTTCCATTGCTCTGCCTGTCGGTGTCTAAACTCTTGTCCCTTAATGTCTTGAGCTGCTCCCAGCTGTACCCTCCCCGCACCCTTTGGAAACCCTCAGTGACAAGGGAGACGGGGCTGAATCTGGAGGGGATGTGCGGATGGCCCAGGTGGAGTGCAGGTGTACCAGACAAGTGGCTGTGGTGCTGATAGTGGTGAGGAAAGGCCCATCCAGGGTGCACGGGGTTGAATTGTCTCCACTCTGCCCAGCCACGGTGATCCCTGAATGCAGAGAGGTCGTGAGGTTTGGACCTGGTGGATGGGTGAGTCTGCATCCAGGGCTGGTACAGTGCAGGAACCCGTCTCGGTACGGGCTGGAAAGGGCCAGTGTGCTTTGTCTTAATCTCACTGTGGCTCTTGTAAGGGTAGGGCGCCTTGAATGTCGCAGCATCACACTGCTGCTGCGATGGCGAGCTCGGCCTTTGGTCCCTCTTTTTGAGCGGGAGTTTGTCCCTGTCTGGGACTAGAGCTGGGTTCGGTGTGAAGCTCATTGGCTCACGCTGCCTGTCACTCACACTGGCACTGCATGTCCTCCTGCAAAGGCCTGAGGAGGTGTTGTGATCGTGTGACAGAGACTCCAGTCTCTTGGCAGGCGTTGCGGATATATAGGTCCAAGGTCGTCACGATCTGAAAAGTCGAAGAAGCATATATCAGTGCACTTAATATCCAAGGTGTAATAACAAGGTGTCAAGCTGTAGAAAAACATCAGGTTCTCTATTCAGACTCTCCGTTTCTGTCACTTTATCTCTCTTTTTAAAAAATCTTGATAAAAGACAGATTTTTCACCCTCTCCTCTGAATGCACCCACCTGGTGAACTCATTGCCTGTCAATATACCCTATAGACACCAACAAAACTATGGCTCCAAAGTACTGTACTGCACAGTGTGGTTGTAAAGGAACCAGCGTATGGAGAGCAATGCAAAGTACAAGGTTGGCGGAGTAAAGTTCTATTTTATCACACGGTTAATATCATTTAAGTTTTCATGGCCACATATTCCCCTGGAAACAATGGAAGTGTTTGTGTTCATGGAATAAATAGGTGCAGGATGTTAAACTCTGTATCTTTCTCATTGGGACTGAAGTGATCGCCCACACCTCAAGCTATCGAGAGCCCATCATCCTCCTTACATGTATGCACAATAGTGAGTCAGTTCACAGTTTCTCACCTGTTCAAAAACAAGTAAAGAGCATTGTAGGACTTTTACAGCCCGTCAATGCAAAGCTCATCTCAATGCCCTGCATTATGTAATCATCATAGCCGAGCACCGCCGCTGAATGGACCTCTTTCACTCTGCCCGACAGGCATGCCTCTGATATGAGCTCTTTCTTTATTACGTGTGTGTGTGTGTGTGTGTGTGTGTGGGAGATCAGACAACAACCTCACACTGACATTCCTGTGCGAGTGCTCAGCAGTATGCACACACGTTAGATAAGTATTTGTCAGCTAAATGCATGCAGTGAAAATGTAAATTCATTCCAAGAGCCTCCAGGTGTGGGCTGCTTACCCACAATGACCGACACACACAGGTACGATCAGATCGTGACCCAAAACGGGCCAACACTGCAACGCTGTGCGTCGTGAATCATCTTATGAGGTGATCAGCTCACCACAGGTCGCTAATCTATGGAAATGAAATATTTACACAGCAGCGTTCAGTGCCATCATGAGAATGATAATCTGCCCGAGGACGGGATTATTTGCATACAGTGACTTAGTCAGTTTGATGTTTCTATCTATGGAGCTGTAGCGCAATACAACCAAATATAACCTCCAGAGACCGCAAAGAGTTCCATCAACACGCACTCAGAGCGAAACCAATCCATGTATCACGACTGGCTCTCTTGGTGGACTTAAAGACAAGAACATGCCACATAAATCAAGATAAACTGGTGTTCAGAGAAGCTTGGAGACTTACTTACACGTTCCTCCATCCATCCATCCCTTCGTCCATGCATCTCCCTGTGCCACTCATCTTCGCAGTGCGTGTCCATCCATGTTCACAGACTCTCCCCACACACACACACACACAAACACACACCTGTCTGGCTCATGTCCTCCTCCCAGGCTGCAGGTGGAAAGACAAAACAGCAGAATGATCAAGCAACCAGACAAGCTCAACAGACTGTCTATCAGACACGCTCTCCTCCCTTTCTCTTGTCCTGCTCTCTCTCTCTCTCCCCTCCTACTCGCCTTTACATTTTACACTCCCACTCTACTCAGTCAGTCAGTCAGTCTTGTTAACCTTTCTCAGACAGATTTGATGTCTCTCCCTCTCTTACTTCTACTTCTCCCTCTCTCTCTCCCCCTCTCAGTCTCTCTCTCATCTGAACTTGCCCACCCCGTGTTTGCCGCTGAGTAGCACTCTCAGCCTCTCTTCCATTTGTAATCACACTCCTCTTCCTCTCTCCATATTCCACACGCTCTCTCCTTCGCTCCACAGCTCTCCGCTGTTGGGTGTATAATTAGAACATGAGACTGCTGTGCAACTCCTCATCTGATGGTAGGCGTACAACTGCCTGATGGCTTTGGCGCTTTGCCTGGAAGAGTGAGGGCGGGAAACCTTGCTTTAGACTAAAGAGTGGACACACGCATGAGCAAAAAAAAAAAAAGAGGGAACAGACATCCTGCTATCACATCTGCAATGTGATAGAAAATAGCAGTCACTTGTTGTGGATTCTTTCTCACCTCAGTATGAAGACGAATAATGTTTCATCCTCAATAAGCGCGACACGTAACCCTGTGAATGCTTTGAAAATGGCAAGTAGGCTAATCGTATTTGAGCAAAGAGTTCAATAGTCAGCATTAAGCATGAAGGTCTTTCATGGTTGTTCAGACAACATGAACCGCCCCCCTTGCTTTCTATATATTTTTCCTGACTTGCTTTCTTGCTCTCCCCATTTCATCTCACTTTAAAACACAAGAAAGAGGACTTGGCTTTTGCTTCATGGCTGCCTCTGCAGCACGGCAGCCCAGTTCTCAGCTATTGATTTTGCACGGCCTCAGCAGGTGAACCCCCAGTCATGAGAAAGCCCACACATAATCTAGTTTGAGGTGGAGAGGATTTCTCACTTTGAGTCACATCATGCTTCCTCTGCCCACTCTCTCTCTCGCTCTCTGTATCTCTGTCTTTTTTATCCTCGGATGTACACACACACACATACACACACATATATTACACGCATATTTAGGCTAAACCATCATAACCACTGACATTTACAGTTTCGAGTGTGTTTTATGGATAGAAATCACCAGTCACTCCCACCACTTCCCAACTGCTACATTACAGCCCGTATTTGAAGTTTCACTTTTCAGCGTGGCACCGACGCAGTGTGTGATTTCCGGTAGTGAAAGTTTCGGTGCCTATGCACGCAAGCATATAAAGGTTTGTTATTAATTTGTTGCCTTATGTGAAGATCTATGTGCCATGGTTATTGTAAAATATTCTGTTGATCAAAGTGGATGATCAACAAGTCATGTCCCTTTGTGCCGATTCTTACACACAGATTCTTGCAATGACTCACAACAGCATCTTTTCCGGCCTGTAACTGAGGCACGACATCCTTTCAAAGGCTCTCTTGAATGCCGGTGCAGTGTTTTGAGGAAAAGGGCAATGATGTAATGATGCTCTGTGAAACCTCTGCATGCAAACATTGTGTAATCAGCAATGCAACGAGGAAGAACTGGAAGTGTCATCTGTTGTCCACTAGATGGTGTCTCAGACATACAGTCTATCTGTAATCTACTTCTACTCACTGTTTGGAAATTATGTCTTAAGTCAATTATTCAGCAGCCAAAACTTGTTTTTAGTACGTTATTGATTTATTAGAGAGTCCGTGACAGTAAATGAGGGGAATGACATGCAACAAAGGTCCGGAGCCGGACTCTTGCTGGGGACACACACCTAAAACCTCTAGGCCGCCAGAGGTTTTACTGCCAAAAGGAACAGCCATGAGAAATGTGAATTTGGGCTGCAACTAACAATTAATCTGTTGGTTATTTGGACTGTTGATTGAGAACAACAAGACATCTACAGATACTACCTTTAAGAGTTATTTTCACAGACCAAAGGTATATTATTTATATTAATATAAAACAGAGAAACGCTGCAAAAGCTGCTGGATCAAGCTGTAACCAGAGAATGTTTGGCATTTTTGGTTAATTGTTTTTAAATTAAAACCAAGGACTCTAATGTATGTAATGGATGTACGATTTATTTTGAGATTTTTTTTCAAAAGTATAGTGCGCACATTGTATCCAAACTTAACTAATATTAATCCCTCATTCAGTGTGTATTATTCTGGAAGGATCAAAATGTTCTTTGTGAAGACGAAACAAAAGCATTTGAATTGTTCAAGGGGCGTCAGTTCCAATTATTATTAAACCAGTTAGGAAATGTAGAAATACAATAATGAAAGGCATATTTGTTGTCTGCTCATGTAACATTTGTTGACATCACTTGACCCAGAAGTTGACCAAGAAGAGTGAGCTTTTAAATCCGTAACAAATAAGGGAGAACGGGACAAGAGACAGAGGGAGCGGAAGATGAGAGGGAGGGAGGGGGTGCAGGAAGACAAAAATAACAAAGGCATGTGCCCGTTTCTCCTTGGTATTTTCCACTCCGTTACATAAAATCCCCCCTTCCCCTTTTATCAATCCTTTCCTCCGACTCCCTCTCGGCTCCTCCCTCCTCCCTGTCATTGGTCAGCTGCTCGGCTCCACAAAGCCACAAACTTGTTCTCGCCTCATCCAAGTGGCTCAGAGTCCACTGAGTCAAAGGGGGAAGCTGGGAGGGAGAACAGCGAGCATCAGTCACCTTGGAGCAGTCCGAGTGAGCAGAGGGCGTGGGAGATGATCGGCAGCCTCTCTCTGCTGAACTCTCACCAATCATCTCTGATTGATTATCTCCCTTCTCTACAAACTCTCCAGCAACATGAGCTCCTCGCCAGCCAACCCTCACAGCAAATGCCTGCCCCGTGAGTCATCTTCAAAACTACTAAACATTTAGTCAGAAACTCATCTTTTAGTTCAGGTGGATATTTTGAGATGTAGCCACAAGTTTGCTCCATTAACACAGTTTTGATGTGCAGATGTAGAGCGGGGCATTGGGGAGGAGGAAAGGATTCTCCATATTTGGTTGTCAGAAGTACAGCACACACACACACAGATTGAGGCAAAGAAACAGAAACTCAAGCTACAATGAAAACCTTTCCAACTGTTCCATTTCGTGTATTACCTTTTAACGTGTCAGAAATTCTGTGTCTATAATACATCAAACAGTGTCAAATTAATGTCAAGGAGAGCTGGAGTTTTCTTTATTTATGATAGACACCAAATGTATTAACGGCTCCACGAGGCATACGCTGTGTGTGTGTGTGTGTGTGTGTGTGTGTGTTTCAGATAGAATGTAGAAGCCGGTGTGACATCTCAGTCAGTGTGTTAAATAGCTGCTGTTGTGTTGATGTTGCCTGAAGTGAATTGTCCAATAGCTGCACCAGCCAAAAATCAGACAGGAATGTTGAATCATCACCCTGAGTAATATACCAGTAATACCAAGTGAATAGGTCACACTCTCTTTGCACAGGAACAGGGATGCATTCCCACACAGACCCACACACACACACACACACACTGAGGCAGCCTTGGATTAGGGCCACCGCAGGGCTCCAGACAAAGATCTCTTATTTCTAATGGGATTGTGCCTGCAGATCTCAGTGTAGTCGACTGACTGCAGCTTGTTCCACAGACACACCAACACAGATGGAGCACACAAGAACTGAAACTGAATTGAATCTGAAGTGAGATCAGTTTATGATTTCACGAGGCTAAAATAAAGGATCAGGGCTGCGACTCCAGAGAAAGACGTCTCCCATCTGTTGCTCTGCCCAGAGCCTCTGTGCCTCTACAGTCCGCTCTGTCGCGTTTTGATTATTGTGGGACTGTGCCAGAGAGCGGCACATCGGTGTGCTGAGAAGTGAAGGACCGGCCAGCTGCTTAGAGCCCGTTACAGACAGCAGGGTGTCGGGTGGAGAAGGAATTGTTCCTATTCTCCATGTATTCTTAGCGCAGTCGCCTTTGACTTGACCCCAGATAGGAATAAGGAGTAAATTATGTTTATTAAGCAAATTAGTGAGGTAAAAATCCATAACATGTACCGTCAGTATCTTTAATGGATCACTCTCTGAAGGATCAACACAGTATGTTTATCTGCTGTGTTGCTCTACTCATTGGAGCTTAATGAGCTAGAGGGGACACAAATGGGGCCAAATTAAACCACTTCTTGCTGTACCTCCTTTACCTTACAAATAAAAAGTTGAAGAAAACATTACTTCCCAAACAAAAAGTTACTGCATACAATGTGGACAAGGCTTTGAAACAACATTCAGAGCTTCATGTTGGAAAATAAAAAATGAAAGACAATAAAGAGTGAAACATATTAATGGCTGATGTCTTGCCTTGTTAAAGCAATTGGCCATGATTACAATTGCAAATTTCCAGCAATTAGGTTGCAGTTGTTGAAACCGAAGACACGTAAATACTTAATACTAATGCTTACCAACGTGTGAAAAGCACACATGTGGAAAATACACAGATTATTCTATTATAAACAATGCCGTGTGGCATATCACACGTGGCTAAATATACTCTGTGTGTGTTTGTGTATGATTATATTAAACCGCCGTGGGTAGATAGGTTACTAAGGTTCCCATCAATCCAACGGTCTAAGCTGTGCAGCCCTGGGGACATAGACCAGCTCCTCTCATTAGTTCTCTAACAAATCCATCTACTCACTGTTCAGCTGAATCCTCCGTTTGGTCAGTTAATGATTCGGAGTCTGTTCACCGAGGCGTTGGCATTGCTGGGAAGAGGAAACATCATTCCTCTGACTATCGAAACGAAACAAAACAAAACAAAAAAGGTGGGAAGTTAAAGCTGCTAAAATCAATACGTTTATATTATACACCTGTGTAAGGAAAATAAAATCCATCAAAAGTAGAATAAAAATTAAAACAATGACCAAATAATACAGAAGAAATACAATTATAGTGCAGTGCACAGTGCATTTATAAGTTTCCCAAATGTAATAAAGATTTATTATTGAAAAAAGTCCAATTTAAGACAATATAATTCACATGTAATGTGGTTTGAATACTGTACTCTTATAAACTACATACTGTTTTTGTGATTGTGATAACATGAAGGAATAACCAGTCAGCGCTACAATAAATCATGATAAAACAGTGTTAAGTCTTTTGTAACCAGCAGCATCTGCGGACCAACCCGCCTCAGCCTCAACCTCAACAAACATCTGAGATATGTCTGAGACTCTGTGTTGAGTCTAAGCAAACATTCCTACAGTTCTCCCAGCTGAAGTGAAAATAGCTTTAAACCGACCTCACAAACACAGAGAGAGGCAGCTGATCCAGGGACAGGAATGTGTAGGAGCCCTAACCTTAAGCCTTACAGAGAGGATGTACTCGGCTAACCTTCACTAGATAATTCAACGTTGGAGTGTAATTACAGATTCAGTCATCAGTGTTGCCAATTAACACCATTTTCTTTATAATAAGGCTTCTATGATGATTAATCGTCCAGGTAGAGAGGTTTTTTTTTTTTTTTTAATTACGCTTGTTTAGCATTAATTATCTTGACCATACAGCGCTTTGAACATTATTAACAGGTTGGCTTGATTGAGTACATGTTGATGTTATTCTACTGTTTATTAATCGTTAGTCTGGATAAGAGGATTTGTTAAAGTGTTTTGTCAGCTGGTGAAGCCTACTGTGTTGATCAGAATTCATGACGGTCTGCTTGTGGACTTATGGAGGACAGTGGGACAGGACACTGACCTACAAACAGTCCTATTGTCAGCGGGGAAGGAAGGAGAGGGTTAACACTGATGTCATTGTTGTCCTGACGGACTGGGCTGATGGGGCTGGACACTGCTTTGACCCAGCGAAAACAGACAGATCTAATATGCAAATGGGAACACGCACATGCACGCATTGACTATATCAGACCAGACAGACACACAAGGACACATCAACTCCCATACATAATTTACGCCGCTTGAAACTGGAGCCCAGTAAGTGGCAGGTTTTTGGAGAGGAAATAGGGATTTGTTTTTTGGGAACCAAAAACAAAAGTGTGAGACAGAGCAAGTGCATTGTCTCCAAAGATCGTCCATTTTACGAGCGTGGCCAGTTGTCTGTTCCACTTTAGTTCAAAGCATCATGTGCTCCGAGGAATGAGGAGAAGACAAGACACAAGCAAAGCAATGTGAAAGAGTCACTAGAAAATAGAAAAGTGTAATATGGGAGGAGTAACTTTACCCTTTAGGATGTGCTGAGCAGGATGTGGTAATGTTAGTGATAAATTAGCACATTGCATTTATACATCTCTGCTCTTGCTGTTAGAGCCGGATAAATCTTCTACCTGTAGCCAAACAGGCGCTGTACCATTCCTCACTGAGACACCATTAATTACTGTAACAGCTCTAGCAGAGCAGAGACAGATCCACTAATGACCAATGTAGACTGTTGGCAGCCTGCTGTTAGGGTGAATGTTATGCCGGAAGGTAAACGGAAGAGGCTGTCAGTAAAAAACAACAAGACATCCTCTTTAACTAATGAGCCGGTGCAGAATTCATTCTCTCCATCTCTATAACCCACACCCTTGACTCACTTTTGGCTAACCTCTATCCCATCATTCCCTGGATGTTTTAAAGACATCCTCTTCGTTTTTAGCCTTTCTGCAAGTGTTCCTGTCCTCCTTGACCTTTCCTCCCTCACTCATGTTGCTGCCTTTCTGTGTTTACAGCCACTCACTCTCTCTTTCTGTCTTGTCGCAGTTGAGAACCCATCTATGTGAAATAAAATTGCTCCTCTGACGAAGAGTGCCTATAGGTGGAAAGGGCAGAGAGCCCGTTCGTAGTGGCCTCAGCCCAAACCAGTGTTACCACATCTGTCCCAGTGTTTAGGAGTCAGCAGGTGGTCATGCCTCAACTAGTCAATATACAATCACAAAGTGTGTTTGAGAGAGACAAACAGGGAGAAGAAGAGCTACACTCTTACTTCAGCATGGAAGACAAAAAATGACTTTTTCATCAATAAATAAAAACCAATTTTAAAAATCCAGAAAAATCCAGAAAATGCTTCCTCATATGTGTGATTTTAACATATTCATTTTAGAATTTATTGATGTATTTATTTATGGATGATGTCATGGATGTCACACATGGAAACACGTGGAAGTATGCAACACCGCCACCACCACCACAGCCATTTAAACAGGATGACCTCATCCTTTTGTACAAAGAAAGCCACTTCTTAGAAAAAGCCTTGGGTTGGATGAATAGATTTAGGCTGAGAGTCTGGAAGAACTGCTCCATAATCAAAGCTGAGGAGGTTGTGATGTTTCCCACTGGGATTTCTGTTCAACTAGTGTTTACTCAGGGGTCATAGCCGGAGCTGCTCCTTCAACCAACAAGTGTAAAAACAACTGGATCGTCTGGAGAGGCAGTTTTCTCTGCTCCGTTCTGCCCTGACCTTCTCTTTACCCGTCACAAGGGAGCCAGTCAGTGAGCTCACATTTTCTTTCTGCATAGTGCTGGGCTAATGGCAGCCTGTGAGCGACACCGAGCCCTCCTGCCATTCCTTTACTTAGCCTTCAGATCAATGTGTTGCCTCGGCTGTATGTGCAGCACTTTTAAAGCGGCGTTTCAGGGTCCCATCCTTGAAAATGTGACAGTGGAATGAAGCACATGATGCTTGAATAAATTGATACAGAAAGTGACCTGATTCTCAGCCTTTGTGCGTTGTTTTCGTGTGGAATATCGATGCACAGTCAAGCTGAAGACAGATGAGCATTGGCAATCATGTGGGGATGATGCATTATATCCGCCGCGTCTGCTGAGAAGCGAGGAATTTAACGAGTTTTCACGCGAATTTGATTAAAGCAAAAAGGAGGAATTTAA